TTTGGCCTATTTCAGCGGAAGATTCTGCATTCAAGAAAAATAACTTGAGATTTTAAGCTAAGCGTAGGCCTTCTTTTAATTTTTTAATGTTAAATTATTAACTTCACAATCTTCATCAGTGGGAGTATCTTCAGAATCAATCTGATTTACAGCTTTGGATGATATTTCTATCAAATCTTCGTCAATTTCTTCTTTGGCTAATAAATCTTGGACATCCTCAATAGCCATGTTTACAAAACCTTCGCCTCCAATTCATTTAGCAAGCTCTAATACGCCACCAATTTTCATTTTCTGGCGATTCACGCACGTTTTCTATTTCAAATGAAGAAGGCCATATCTTCTTCTAACATGCATTTAACATTGATGCTTTCAGTTGTTTCGGCGACAAAGATACGATGTCGATTCAGTTCTTGATTGAAAATGTCTTCCAAGCTTCCATTACATTAATTCAGTTCGAAGAGGTTATGTCTAAAATTCGAAGAGGTTATGTCTTGTCATGTTCTTCTTATGTAATATGTTTTAAATGTATAAATAATACTTTGATCCAATGGTTGAAATAACGAAGTAGTGTTAGGTGGTAGGAACAGTATTTGACATTGGGATAATTCAAATCTTGTGGGTGACATGGAGCAATATAATAGTAATAAGCGCCTTGAAGCTCAAATTTTTCTGCCTTAAATCACATTCAGCGTCTGGCACAAAACTATTTAAAAACCAATCTTTATATATATTCACAGCTACCCATGCTCTTTGATTTGCTTTCCAATATACAGATAAGGTGTTTTTATTTACACCTTTGTGTGAACGAAGATTTAAAAGTCTAAAAACTAACAAGGGTTTTGTCATAAAGTCATACTGCACAAAAGTAGCATTAAGATAATTTTTAGACACCTTAAATCAGGATGCAGTTTTTTCTTTTTTCGATATAAAGGTTCTACTGGGCATTTTTTTTCCACAGAAGCCCAGTTTTGTCGGCACCGAAAACTTGATCTGCTGTGTATCCTTGTTCTTCTATAATATTTAAAAACTTTTCAGGAAACGTCCTAGCAGCTTCATAATCAGAAGATGCAGATTCACCTTGAATTCTTATGCTATGAATTGCAAAACGCTTTTTGCAAGTTTCGAAACAACCTTTACTTACCAGAAAATCTAGGTTGACAGAGAGTTATCCATGTTCTTTGAGGTGCTTGAAAATTTTGAGTTCTTTTTTTTTAATGATATTACCATCCAACGACATTCTTTTTTGACAACTATCATCAATCCAAATGCTGAGTGCTTTTTCCATCTTCTCAATTATTGGCGCCTCAGGGGGGGGACGAACTGAAAATTTTGCGGTTGTCGAAAATCCTGCAGCAACTGCACTTCTTATTTCTTTTTCATTTTTCTTAATACTTCGGTATGTTTCTTCATTTCAATTAAAACTTTTTCCAATGTGAGATGCCTTTTCTCCTTTCAAAAGACGATCCAAGATTTGTATCTTTACTTCTTCTTTTTACTTCTAAGGAAATTAATTTTCTCTTAAACATTGTTTTTTTTTATCTTTATCGGACATGTTCTGGGATTGAAACTTAATGTCTTAAATGCAAAAAGTTACCGTAATTTCCGGTAGAAACACCGCGGCGTTTACGTGTTTAAAACTTAAATTTTCAGCGGGTGCGGCGTTTCTACCCATGCGGCGTTTAGGTGCACTGAAAATAAAATATTTCTTTCCTATGATGGTCATTGTACATAGTTTGGATGGCCTTGTCATTGTGCATAGACTGGTGCTGTCCCACACAAAAGACCACTCAGTTGCTTTTTGCGAATGTTATTTTGTTTACATTCTTTCCCTTGAACGGACCTACATGCCTTATTCACCCTAAACGAGATCTCAGAACAATAACATTCTTCCCCCTTTCAAATCAACATTCTCATCAGTTTGAATAGTCTCTCTCCTCTGTGATTCGATGAATCTTTCAGGACCCATCCTCTCCCCACCCCTGCCTTTTCTGCAATTTTTTTCAAAGGCGGACACGACTCCACCTGCCTCGCAATAACAAACTCTGACGTATTTCCCCTTCAGCATGAATGGATTTTTCTTGGCATTCTCCCAAATACAGATCCCATCAGTTTGACTACAAGTACTTGTTGAATAGTTTTTATGTAAGAAGGGACAGGAAAATTTTTGAAAATGTCTCTAAAAGGCACAGAAGCTATACATTTCTTACCTTTAATTTATTTTTGAGTTATGGTTTCATTTCATGCATTTTTCTTAACTGGTATGTCATATATCAGGACTTAGGTTGAGGTTTTGCATCTATACGGCCCATGACAATGTCACGTGCAATTTAATCTATTGCGGCATTTATGCTGATGCGACGTTTCTGTGTAATTTTAATTTTTTTCCCACCATTTTTCTCGAGTGCGGCGTTTACGCTGATGCGCCCTTTCTTACGGAAATTACGGTATTCTTTTAACACACCGTGTCTCCACGCAGACTAACGACAGCGGCATGAGACACTTGTTTTTAGGTCACGTAGACGAGGATTCGAATTTTGGAATGCAAACATTCAGGTTGTGCGTTTTGGAGCTCATTTACTGTGACCTCATCTCGTCCATTTGTGATAGTGAGGTTCTTTCATTGTTATCTGGTGATTGTTGTCTTTTGTGACTGGGTATTGTTTCTATTATGCGATACTTTGACGGTCATGGAAGGAAACTATTTTTCTTGTTACCAGTTAAAAATTTAATCGTCGGTCTCCACCATGTGGCTCGTCTTCCTGAGGATTTTTGTTACGGGGAATCAGATCTTGGAAGACAACTCGCAGGACTTACGAAACAAGGATTCTTATGTGTTAACCTTTAAAAGGCTGAAAAGCTCGGAAAGGTTTACTTAAAAAGACGAAAAATAAGAATGCTATTTCCACCCCCTTTCAACTGCCATTTCAATGTGAAACAACTATGCTCTTGAAATCTTTTCTTTAAGTTTGTTTTCAGATAGCAGACTAGGGCGAAGGTCATCGGACAGGTGACACGGATGGTTGTCGGACAATGACTATCCCCGCACCTGAAGGGGATTTGTATCTGTACTTCTAAAGAAATAGATTTCCTCTTAAATTTTTTTTTTTTTTTTTTTTTTTTAAATCTTTATCGGACATGTTTGGGGACTGAAGCTTAATGTCTTAAAGAGGAAAAAGTTATTCTTTAACACACCGTAGCTCGACGCAGACTGCCGACTAGCAGCGTGAGACAATTTTGTTTTCAGGCCATGGAGAAGAGGATTTGAATTTTGGAAGCCAAACGAGCAGGTTGTGTGTTTTAGAGCACTTATTGTGACCCCATGTTGTTCACCTTCTGTGATAGACAGGTTTATTCATTCTTATCTGGAGACATTTGTTCAAACGGATCATCTGAGGACATTTGTTCTTACAGATACCTGATCTTGGAAGCCAACTGGCAGAACTTACGAAATAAGGATTCTTATGTATTAAATGACTATATTAGTGCTTTGCACAATATGGAAAAACTTCGGAATTCGCTAAATTTCTTTGGATAGCATGGGCAATTTTCTTATCGTGTTAGAGCAAAACCGTGTTGTAGGAGGGTTCTTGCAATTTATGAATCGTGTTATAGCGAAACCGTGTTGTAGGAGGGTTCTCACAATTTATGAATTGTGTTATCGCGAAACCGTGTTACAGGATGCCGGGTTTTAGGAGGGCTACCTGTATATAAATATATTTATATACGTTTGGTGTGGCCGATTGCAACCAAAATATGAGGTGCACATTTACATGTTATAGCAATCCTATATACAAAATTTCAACGTTCTGAGGTTCTCATTTTTGAGTTATGCGAGATACATGCGTACGTACAGTACGTACAGATACCACGAAAAATTCTCTTCAGAATTCATTTTAAAGCAGTTATATATATATATATTGAGGAAAATTGGCTTTTATTCTATTCTTACATACAGATGTCACGCAAAAATATCGTGAAATTGCATTCGATAGCGGTCAAAATGGATATTTTTATTGAAATATGTTGCCTGAAACCTTTTGCGATTACAATACTTCCTTTTTACTTTGTACAAGGAAGTAAAAAAGCAAATTCCAAAATTTCCAGAAAATTACCCTCTCCAGTCAAGTTCACAAAAAGAGAAGCAATAGGGTGAATCCATTCAACTGAGTTAAAAATAGAATTGGAATGTTGAAAAAAAAAAAAAAAAAAAAAAAGAACCTTAGAGACTCTGTGAGACTGCATTTCTCCAGCTGCAGGTTGAGCATTTTCTGGACTTTATTTATCTTTTGGATAATTTTAGCAAAACTAAATGCATTTTACTAAAACTTGCTAACTCCATTAACAGTTTTAATTTCAGTCCAACTTTTAAGAGTTTAAAAACTTTACCTGATACCTTCATTTCTTTGATTTATGTAGGATTGTGAAAAAAGATTGAGAATGAAGTTATTTTTAACATGCATGTTATACAGCAGGAGGAAAAAAGGAAGGAGGTGGGGGGAAACCATGATGGAAGGGAAAAAAAGTGCAAAAATCTGTTACCAAGTATATGAAATGTTGCAAAAAGCATCGGGCAATGATGTTTTATCACAATAGCAGTTCAGTATCTCAAATAATTTAATGGATGCCCTGTTTTGTTTGCAAAGAACAAATGTTAATACAAATGACACTATGATAACACAGCCACTGTCATTGCTGTAGATGGGTTCCAAATAGCAGTTCATCCAAATGTTACGGCAAATCTCATTATGGCATTCATCATTTTGCATGATCATCTGCAAAGCAAACAGGTTGAGCCTAGTTTAAAGCACTCAGTGATGACTATTTCAAAAAAGAAAAAAAAACTAACACAGACTCTGCGAAATACATTTCAAGTTTAATGAACTCAATTTCATTATTTTTTGAATAATTCTCATATATTTCCTTCAAAAAAGGTGGAGGCTGGTATATCTCTCAAATTGCTTTGCCTTAAACAATTAATCTAACCTAAACAAAAAAGGTGGTATGAATATGTTGCAATTATTTATTATTTATTTATTTATTTTCATTACATAAATGAAGTATTTAGCAAATAGAACACAAAATATGTTTTCTCTTTTGATGCAGTTTCCCTCAAAATACATAGAGATCTTCCACAAAACCTCTACTAATTTAAGGTGGAATTTTGCCCAATTTTACATTTGTCAGTAACATGTTTCTCTTACATACATCCTTCATAATCTGTTTCGTTTTACAAGAACACTGTTCTAAAAACTATTACCTAAAATTATTTCCATGCATACTTACAAAATATTCTAAATATATGATTTGTAGACGGAAAAAAGGTACACAGCCACAAAACATCAAATGCAGTAAATGAGTTGAATACCATTTTAAGGAAACAGCTATAATAAGTTTATCCTTTTAAATTATAAAATTAAAGTACATTCAAGTAGTTGGCTATGTTTTTCAAAAAAAAAAAAAAAACAAGACTTGTCAAATGAATTTATTTTTTTTTTTTAAATCAGTATATAAAAATTTTGTAAAGAAGTTAGCACATGCTTTACCACATAAACCTCTGAACTTCTTCACTGTCATGCCACATGAATGCCTTAAACAGAAATAAATATAGCACCAAATAATTAACAAAAGCATACACAAGAAATTCCAGGTAAGGTTGCCACTTTGTTTCAGTTTTTATGTGAATCCTCAGCATGATATATGGAATTATGAAGTATCTAAGTTCCAATAACTTTTGGGGTATGGTTGATATGATAACACAGAAGGCAAGAATTAATTTAGAATAAACATTTTTCTCTTGTACAGAACAAAATACAGACCAACAGCTATAAATGTATATTGGTACCAATAATAGAGATAATAATATATTTCTTCCTAATAACCTTCTCCATATATAGAATGTAAGGTGACGATTATCTGCCAAAAGATATTGATGAATATGTGACATAAAAATAATACAAAATGAAAAAGCTATAAACATTAATGTCACACATAGTTTATGACTATTTACAAATAAAACAAATTCTTTGGTTTTATACCATGAAATTAAGTACGGAGATGCAAAAAATAGGCAAAATAACAAAAAGTATAATATTTGTGGCAAGTTTAAACAAACTTGATGAGCACCTTTATCACCTAATGCAACTGAGCCATTAATGGAAACAAAAAGTACAAAACCTACACCAACAGCAAAATAACCTAAATTTACTTCAACCATCTGCATAAGTAATTCCTTCCAGTGATCTTTCCAAAATGGTTGAGATATTTTTATAAGTTCAGGAAATGTCAAATCAGACATTTCTTTGTCTTTTTTCATAAGAGCTTCACTGAAAAGTAGCATTAAAATATGCAGTGTTTCATCTACAGCCAGCTGGAATGAGAGAGAAAAATGAATAAGTTAGTTTCCCACAAAAATAAATAAATAAATAAAATAAGTATAAACATGGATTAAATACTGCTGTGTATTAACATTAAATATGCCTAAAAAATTATCAAATTTTATTAATCGTTCTTCATTTTACTTTCCGAAATATAAAACTGATGTTTTCAATTAAAAAATATAATAAACAAAAACAGAAAAAATCTTTAAAAATGTAAGTAAAGAAACACAGCAACAAAGATATACAATCTTACAGTTTTATTTCATGTAATATTAAAAGGGTTCTACCAATAAAATTAATTATTTAGACTTAAGTATAATTAAAAGTATAAGCTTGCATTTTTACATTTCATGTTTCAGTGATAATTTTAATAGAAGCATGTAAAGCTAACGATGTTTATTTTAGTATTAAAAAGAACTTTCCTTTTTACAGTAAAAAAAGTTCTTTGCATTCTTAAATTAAAATTTTGACAAAGACAGAATAGTACATGATGTAGCTAGAAGATGTGTTTGCAGTCACAGCTTGTGCCATACTTTATTCTCAATAAAACATTTTTGAAGCAGGCAACATATAAAGATAAATCAGCACAAGCATGCACCTGATCTTCATCTATTGCCTTTGTATTTTTCATATTTTTATTGCATATTTGAAGTTAAGAAGAGAAATGCAGTAGAGAAAATCAGCAGCACAAAAGAAGCTGAGAATTGCAAAAATTCAACATGAAAGTTATTAGTTAAGAATAATACAAGATATGGTTTTACTTTATTCCTACAGATTAATCAATGTTTTGATTTACAAATTTTAATTATTATTGGCTGAAGCATTGGCATTTTGCATTATGTATGTACATGCATTATGAGCATTACACAGTAATCATATGGCAAAGAATGCATTTAAAATGACACAGTTTAGGAAGATTATAAGCTTGCTACTACTTTTAAGCTAGAAAAAGGAAATAATCAAATTAAAAAGGAAACTTAAGGGCTATAGTAAATTAAATTTAGAATTGTATCTTACATATTAGTAATGAATAAGCTTTATATTCCTAAATATTATAATTGCCTCTGCTCTTCTCCTAATAAAAAGGGACCGATAAAATAATAATAATAAAAAGGTAATTCAGAAGTCAAACAACAAAAATCAGCATTATTTTCAAAATTTTCAAAATGTCCATTTGCGATTTTGTAGCAGAAAATGGTGGTTTGGTAAAACCATCGAAACTAGTCCTGTGAAAATTTTGAAAATAACGCTGATTTTTGTTGTTTGACTTCTGAATTAGTATTTGTTCGGCGTGTCATTGTGTCTTAATAAAAAGGTATCTAATATAAGTTTTTACTGTCATAAATAATTGCAAAACAAGTAAATCTTTTTTATGTGCTTATCAAGAGATTACAAAATTCTACTTTGAAGACATTTTATTTGAAAGCGTTACCTGCTAAAAAACATTTTCAGGGTTCGTACACATTTCTGCACATGGAAATCAAGTACTTTTAAGGACCATCAATGAAAAAAATTAAGGACCTATGAGCAAACCAAAACTGAATAAATTCAATTAAAAATATTATCTGTACCTGAATTTTTGTAATACCATCCTAAAAATAAATAGATCCCTAAATAGTATGTACTACTACTAAACATGAATTAATTAACATAGTTATTAATAAGTTCAAGAATAAAATAAACTTTAAGCAATTTATCAAGTAGCATTAAATATCTTACACTTATAATAGTTGGACATATTATTTGAAAGAAGATAAGTGACATTTACGTTTTACTAACAGCTTTATGTTGATTTCCCACCCCCCTCATTTTGTCAAATACTTGGTCAGTCTAGAGGTTTAGTAAATAGCAGGTAGATTTTGTGTCAAACAGCATAGGTTAAAATGAGAACTAAGATCATAATCAGCATGATTCATAACCCAAAAGACTGAATGTTGTCACCGCTGCTGCTTGTCTAGAAAGAGACCTGCTGATTAGAATAAACCTGAAAGGCCTGATCTAGGCACTGTCCTCAAGTGTTGAAAGTTATTCAGGCTCTATTTGATGCAGTTAGTGTCGTAGGTTCGTGTAGAGTTCCAAGGGTTATAACCCACTTAATATACTTTAAGGTTCCAATAAGCCATTAAAGCACCAGAGGTCATAAGTTATTTTGTATTATTCTAAGTCTCACTAGATGCAAAGAATAAGTTTTATTTGAATTTTTACATTTTGTTTGTAACCATCTACTGTGTGACATCTTGTGACCAGGGAGTATTAATGAAAGGCAATAACTCGCTTTAATATGTAGAGATAATTTTTAAGGGTAAGCATTTAGTTATAAATAATTAAATTACGTAGTTTGACAACCTTAAACATTATGGATTTACATGGCTACTATTAAATTTTATTTTTAACAATATTTGTTAAAAAAGCCCCATTAAAAATCAAAATCTAATAAAATTTCACAGTTTAAAATACATGTAATTTATGACATTGATTCTTAAATGATATTAGGATAATTACACATTAAAAGCTACAAAATGTTAATGTTTTGTAACAACAACACTCAACAAAATATTTATCCATCATTTTAATTTGAAGCCTTCCCAAACATTTTGGCTAGTTTATTATCGATTTCCTTCTCTTAAAGCATCTTTTCTAACAATTAGAGATTTGTCTCAATATGCAAACTAATGCTCTTGCTAGTTTCTGTGCACTTTATCTCCTAACTTGTCAACCTCTCCACAATGTTACTTGATCTTCTAAAAGTTAAATAGTCCAAAACACCCAACAGACATGAAGCATATTATTGCTATGTCTGAAAGTAACTACACTATCAAAGATTTAAATAAGCCTCTTATTTAAAAAGAACTTGATCTGCTAAAAGTTAAATACTCCAAAACTCCCAACAGACGTGAAGCATATTATTGCTATGTCTGAAAGTAACTACAATATCAAAGGTTTAAATAAGCATCTTATTTATAATGAACTTAGAACATAAAGATATATTCTGATGCTAACAAAATCAATTACAGCTCACAGTGACGTAATTAAACAAGAACAGTCAAATTCAAACTAGAAATGTGGAATAGTGGTCAAAGATTATACAATTTAATTTTAATTTGATCTGGCTCAAAAATTCTATCATATGAAGAAATAGGAATGGAAAATTATAGTAAAGGCTGAAATAATAAACAATTGGGTAATTTACATAATAATAACTGCACATATCTTTGAAGACTAATTTTTTTTTTTTTATTTATTCATTTCTTTCTTTAACACGTTGCCTTTCCATCTCAGAATTTTTGAATTTAATTAAGGATTTCTGTTATTCTAAAGAACACTTAATGCATTTAGAGTGTATAGAAAAAGTGGCTAATTTAATTTTGTAAGTAATATGGACATTTAGAAGAAATGTGAAATATAGGTAAAGGCTGGTTACAGAGCTGATGTGGCAGAATTTTTAGAATTTTGTGACACACCGAACAACAAAATCTAAAAATGGCAACACTTTTAGAATTTAGAGCAGGCATCGGAAGCAGAATTTAGAAAGGCACTAGGCAGCAGAATTCAGGATCCACAGAAATTGCATCAGGTGCCTATCAGGTGTATGCTATGCATATGATGCATTAAGATATATTAGATGAATCTTTTAAATTGTACGTTTTCAATTTCTTTATTTAAAAAAAAAATCTCTTTCTATAATGCCTGCCTAAGTGATAAGATTAGAAGCATTTTTGATATTTTCCATGCTTGAGTCTAGTGAAAAGCAGAGAAAATAAAGGGATGATAAACATATTGAGATTCTAGTATCCGAAGTAAAACATTCAAATATTATGTTTTCATTGCTCTTTCAGACGTTCTCCAAAAAGTAAGAAATTCATTGCAAACTTTCTGTAAAATACATCAATTACGTGTTGATACCATGGAGACATTTGTCGTTTTGTCACATATTTCTTTAATCTTCTACAATCGTGGCTCTATGAATCTTGCCTTCAAATCCTTCTAAACCTTCCAAGCTGCAATGTCTAAAATCCTAACGAAAAATTATCCCTACCAATTCTGTCATAGCAAAAAGCCAGAAATATTTTGGAAAAAAAAAAGGGGAGAAAAAAGTGTAAAATTAATTTTATAGAGAAAACTGGTGCATATTTTGTGAATTTTCTATAGAAACTGATCTTAAAATCACCAAAATGTTGATAAGTCCCCAAATTTAGAACCATTTAATAAAAGAATTCCAATCTCCAAAAGTGAAAAGTTGTTTAAAATCTCTTTATTAGAAAAAATGAATTTCGAAATGCTTATGTTTCACTTCTTGCTTAGAAACTCAAGTACCCCATCATTTATATTAGAAATAGAAATAAATTACAGTCAAAAGTCCTTAATTCGGACACCCATAATCCGGAATGATCTATAATTCGGACCTCAAAGCTACAAACTTTCTGCGCATGCGTCGCGTTGACGCATGCGCGTAAGACCTTTACCGCTGCTAATTTGCGTGTGCGCGCGCGCAAAATACGTTTACGAATGCGAATTTAATGTATAACGGACGGGATAAGCTAAGCTAAAATTATCTATTTCAGTTAATGTTGCAGATTGCGTTGTTCCTTAATCTTCGAATTGGATCCGGATCATTGTTTTTTGCAGACTGTTAGAGCAATTTTATAAAAGTAAGCTTGAACTTTCGATTATGTCAAATAGAATTTCCGATATATATTTACTAATATGTAAAGGATATACAAAGCGAAAGTATCTTTCGGAGTCCATTAAACAAAAAGTGGAATTGCTGCAAAAAATGGATAAAGTTTATCTAAACTTTAACGTTTGTTTATCTAAACTTTGTTTATCTTTAACGCCGCCGCGGCGTGCATTGAATTGGAAGTTGATCTGTCAGCCCTATCCTTATCTTAAGAGCAGATTTTTTATTTTATTTGGCTTATAATTGCTTACTCAATGTAGTATTTCATCTCGTCTTTGATATGATTTAAATCAAATGCCTCGTCATTATAAT